AGTAATGGCTACATGCCTGTCTGTGCTTGAGGTTCCTCACTCAGCAAGTAAAATTGTTTTGGCACCCTACATGGCTGCGTGAGGGTATGATGTCTTCATGATTCCTTATAGATAAGGGGACTCAGAAGGGAAGTAGGATAAAGCTGCAGGCATGAGGAAGTGCGCTGTGGTCATTCTTCTTGCTTCCCCTAGGTGGCAGCAGTAGACAAGTCTAGCTGCTTTCTGGGACCTTGGGCAGGATGTGGGTGCAATCAGCCAAAAGCCCTCCCTGACATGTGAATCCCGGTTCCTCAGGGCCTGGCTTAGCCTTCTGCTCCATTCCAACCTCACCCTGCTCCGGGTTCCTGTATTTCACATCAGCCTGTTCCAAGGCAGCACCTGCTGCTCCTGCCGTTTTAGGACCCAGCTGTGGGACCCACTTCCCCAGAGTAGCTCCAGCCCTGGGCCAGGGCATGGTCACTCTCCCTGCCCTGGGAAGCTCCATGTGGTCCCTGGCTAGCCCTTCAGGCCTGGGGCCAGCGTGTGTGCACCAAGAAGGAAGGGCACCTTCTCTTTTCTTCCTCCAGTTGCGCTCGGAGCTTCTCTTCCAGTGGGTCCGGCCGTGAGGGCACAGCCATGTTTTCTGAGATACCTGTAGGAGGGAGATGCCATAGGTTACTCCAAAGAAGAAAGAAGGCAAAAGGGAAGGTGTGATATTTAGAGGAGATGACAGAGTCAAAGTGCACCCCAAGGTGAAAGGGGACTCTGTAGGTTCCCTTTGAGGGCTTTTGGGTGAGAACTTGCTTCAGTCTCCTCCTCTGGATGGAAATCTCTGCTCAGCTGAGAGCTGCTGAGAGGAAATGCTTCCATCATTATCTTCCCTCAGCTGTCCCTCCCACTGTCTAGTGTCTGTCACTGGAAGAGAAGTCTTCCTTACAGCTCTACTACATCCTTTTAGAATCCAGTTCACTCCTTTCCTCGAGTCCCCAGGGAAGATGCAAAACAGCGTTTTCCCATCCTCTGATAAAGAGCCCTTCACAAATCCAGAAAACATCACTAACCCATCCCACATCTTTCTTTGCACCAGTTGAAGTGGCAAATTTTCTAGTCTCAAAATCATGTCTCCTGTTTTTTACTCGGAAACCCTGGTGGCATAGTGGTTAAGTGCTGTGGCTGCTAACCGAAAGGTTGGCATGTTTGAATCCACCAGGCACTCCTTGAAAACTCTATGGGGCAGTTCTACTCTGTCCTATAGGGTCGCTAGGAGTTGGAATCGACTCAATGGCAATGGGTTTGGCTTTTGGTTCTAATGCAGTGGTTCTCAAGCTTGTTTAACATTAGTACACTTGGAGAGTTAAAAACAAACAAACAAAAACCAAAACACCAATGTTTGGCCCCAGCGCCAAAGATCCTGGTTTAATAGGGCTAGGATAGGGTTCAG